CTATCATGAAATACTTCTCAGACCAATCCAGTTGAGAATGTTATACATGTCATCATCAACAGGTAATAAGCCATATCTGTTTCCCACTGACCTCTTGCCTCTCTATTTGCTCTCTTGCTATCTTTCTCTATCCTCTTCTCTTCATCCCCCCCCCATTCCCCACTGTCATATTCTCATTAAGTACTTTCACTGCTTTTATGTCCTCCAATATTTCACTCTCTCTTTTTGAAATGGAATGATCAATCTACTTCTGTGAGCAGTACACACTATAGTATGTGTAGAGGAGAAAGAGCAAAGGGCTTTATACTGATATGTCTCTGGTGAGGGGCACCATTATCCCTTACGTTGGTGCATTTAGTTTTACTTTGCTGTGTATATAGTACATAGAAAAAGACAAACGAGTCCTCATTTAGAACATCTAGTCTTTCTAGGTATGAAAGAGGCTGACAGTATATGACAAAAATAGAGTTAGTAATGCTTTGTGTTAAAATATAAAAGAATGTCTTAAAATCATTTAAGAAAGTAAAATTGTTTAAATCTCCTCTAAGCATTACAGATGCTTATATCTATCTACCGGGTTGAGGTTTAGGAGAAGGGTTCTAGGCCAGAAGTTTCTATTTATATGACCCTAAAAAAATAGCTTTTGTTAAATGTGTGAAGTTTATTCAATGCTATTGTGTGTATAATAGAAAACTTAAGTATTTAAGTGCAAAACATACACGGGATCTTCAAAACGTTCATGGAAAATGTATATGGTTAAAAAAAACACAACCAGGTGGATTTCAAAAATTTTGGCACCAAAATAAACTTGTACTTTAATTCTATTTCCCACAAACTTTTGAAATCCCTTATATGTTAAAAGTAGGAGGCTAAAGTGAAGAATAGTTTGTTATTTCATAGGAGTGGTTGCATTTTGAGTATGGAATTGTTAAAATTTTGTGTCTCATAGAGTATACTGACTGTTCACTGGGTAGGGGAGAGTATACAGAGAGATGAGTTTAGTGTCCATTAATGAGTTCCGATTGTCTAACCATTATTTTGTATGTGCATTTTAGTTATTATTGCTGTGTATTATAGGATAAACAACTAGCCCAAAATATGTTAAAAGTAGAGAGATAGTAAAATAATCCATTTATAATTTTTTTTTCTTAAGACAAGGTTTTGCTCTGTCAAGATCTTCCTGCTTCAGCCTCCCCAGTAGTTGGGGCTATAGGTGCACCCCATTGTACCCAGCTCTTCAGAGTGAGCAGAGAATTGAACCCAGATCTCCCATGTGGCTTCAGCCTGTCAAATAGCAGTGTCAACGAGCGTGCACTACTGCAGGTGGACCTATAAATGTTCTTTTGTTAATTTTGTAGGAAGGATGGCCTTCTAGAAGTGACATTAATCCAACTCTAGGAGCTACACATATAGTACTATATTTAGTCACTGGAATGGTGGAAGAGGGAGAAAAAGAAGGGTAAAGGGAAGGGTTCTTTGCTAATAACTCATCTAGAAGATGAACTTAGATTATAACCATAGGTTTATGTGTAGTTTTCGTAAAGTATCTGTTTAGTGTGGACAAATATTTTGTAACACTAAGCTTTATAGATGAATTGACAGTGTATGAGAAAAAGTAGAGCTAGTGAATTAGGCAGTTGTAAATATCTTTGTTATAATTGATAGAAAAGATGAGTCTAGGACATGGAATTGTTAAATCACCTCTGAGCAGTATATATCAGGGCTTATTCCTTAGATTGGCAGAAGAGGAGCAGAAGGAAGTCTTATAAAGGGATGCAGATGTGTTCATATTTACATTTTGATGATAGCCATTGATGGATATGCATCTCTTTTGGCTGTACTGTGGTAATACATTGAGTAATTAAATGGAGACATCTTTCTAATATTTTAATAGTATAGAGCTGATAATGAATTATGCTATAAACATTATATTTAAGAGTACTCTGTTGCTTTATGTTTTAAATGAAGCATTAAGGGGATGATATATTTTAGTCCTAACTGCCGATACTTTTATCTAGAAGCCTGTTGCCGTTTTTGTCTTCTGTGAAATTTTGTCCCCAAGAAAGGATGAATTTTTTTAATAGATTGAATTGGTCTAGTGTACTCTTAGTTATCAAAATAGAGCTTTGGGACTTTGAATTGGTAAATATTCATGATTGTGAAAGAGCATGATACATACTATACTGAACAATCCCAGAATTGGATTTTGTGTTTACAAACAGGGTCTAGAAAGATACATCCCACTGTAAGCTGTTTGTGACTGTGGATGACTTTGTTCTTTGCTTCTTGTGCTTTTACATTTCCTATAATGCATATATTAACTTTTAAAAAATAAAGGTTATTTTTAGAACCTGAAAAAAAAAGAAATTCATCTACAGATTTAACACAGTTTCTACTGAGGTGCCAGCTGCATTAATTGTAAGAATTTACAGGCTGATCCTAAAATGCACATAGAAAATCAAGGGACCTAGGATAGCCAAAACAATCTTTAAAAAGGAAGATAGTTGCAAGACTTCCTGGTTACAAAACTCACTACAAAGCCACAATAACTGAGACAGTGTAGAACTAGTATAGTTTAGACATATATCCATACTGTAGAATTGAGTTCAGAAATACACCATTATTATTTTAACCAATTTATTTTTGATAAGGATGCTAAGACAATTCAAAAACATTTAAAATTTATTATATATTTATACATTCAATCACTATATATTATTTAGATTGTAAATAGATTTTACCCAACATGATATACACCATGCACAAGGCAAGTTGAGAATATGATACACAGCATCATCAACAGGTAACAAATGAATTATTCTGAGAAAACTGCCTATCTAGATGTGAAAGATTATATAAAATACTTATCTCATACCCTTTCACTAAAAATGTCTTAAAGACCTAAATATAAAACCATAAATGAGGGCTGACCTTGTGACCCAGTGGTTATAGGAGCTAGATTCCACATGACCAACTATCATTCAAATCCCTGCCCCAGTGGCTTGAAAAGCACAAGAGGTGTGTGTGTGTGTGTGTGTGTGTGTGTGTGTGTGTGTGCTCAAGATAATAAAAGGATGGAAAAATGGAGGAGAAGAGATCACAGAATGACCACTTTTTCCCCATTGTTGGAGAGCTTTCTCTTCCCTTTCTGTTTCTCTATCTCCCTCTGGCAAGTGTATGCACCCTCTGGCTAAACAAACAACAACAACAACAACAACAACCCCCCCCCCCCAAAAAAAACCCCACAAAAAACAAAAACCTCATAAACTGTTAGAAGAAAAGAGTTTTAAATCTCTGTAAAGTTGTATTAGGTGGCCCAGCAGAAGACATGGTGATTAAAGCCCTGGATTCTCACATAGCTGACCATGGTTCAAGTCCCTGAACTGGCAGCCTGAAAATCACAACAAATACATAGATAAAAAAAAGAAATGAATGTTTTTTAAAAAGTTGTATTAGGCAATGGTTTCTTAGATATGATGCCAAAAGCACAATCAGTGAAAAAAAAAAGATAAATTGCATTTAATTTATATTACCAATTTTTGTGTTTCAAAGGATGCTATCAAAAAGTAAAATGGCAACCTACCTAATCAGAGAAAATAGTTGTATATTATATATCTGATAAGGCTGTAGTATTTAGAATATATATTTAAAAACTCACAACTCAACCATACAGACAAATAACCCAGTCTCACAAGGACATACGCACATTTGTTGGCACCATTTATATGAAAAGTCCAAAACAGGAAGATTCATGTAGACAGAAATATTAGTGATTTCCAGGCACTGGGAAAAAAGCAGGTGGAGAATGATTGTTAAAGGTACAGTGTTTTCTTTGGGGCTCTTGAAAATATTCTAAAATTAATGCTGATGGTTGTACAACTCTGCAAATATATTAAAAACTACTTAATTGTCTACATAAAAAGACTGAATTTTATGGTATGTGAATTGTATCTCACTGTTATAAAAGGGTGAGGTAATAACACATCCTCATGTGTCTCAGTTATAAATGTTTCTACAGCCTATCGACTCACAGCAGAAAATTTGGATTGTGGATTTTCCATTTCCCTAGAACTAGACAAATTGCTCTACAAGTTGATTATATCCATTTTTGCTTTCACAGGTAGTGCTATGGAGTTTAAGTTTCTATCTCGTCAATAAGTGAAATTACCAATTTTTTTTTTGAGAGGTTTTTGCTATAGGGTGTATGTGTTTGCCAGAAAGACAGAGACAGAGAGAAAGAAAGCGAGAAATCACCCCCTAGGGGGGATGGCCATGCAGCAATCCCTTCTCCTCCATTCTCCTTTGCGATCTTGGGCACACACACACACACACACACACACACACACCTAGTGTGAGTTTAAGCCACTGGGTTCGGGACTTGAACTGCGGTTGACTACATGAGAGTCCAGTGACATAGCCATTATGCGAACTGCTGGTCCTGAAATTACCATTTTTTTTTTTTTTACTTTTTAGTTATTTAGTTTTACTTACTAGCTTATAATATTTCATTGGTTTACATTTCTATAACTTCAAGAAAAATTAAGCATCTTTATGTGTGTGTGTGTGTAATTATTTCATTCATTATTGTTTTTTAAGTTTGACCAGAGAAAGATAGTGAGAGAAAGAGAGAGATAAAGTGAGAAAGCAAGCTGCCAGGTCTGAGATTTGAGCCATGGCTGGCCACGTGGAAGTCCAGCACCTCAATCACCACGCCACCTGCCAGCCTCCTTTTATATATCGATTAGCCATTCAATTTTTTTCTTCTGTGAGTTTCTTTTCACATCCTTTACCCAGCTTCCATTGGACACAGGAACCAGAAATTTCCCCTCCTATGTAGTGACAAGTAAACCTTTCCAGGCACTTAGGCATGCCAGTCCTTTCTAGCCAGGTCCCACATCCATTCCAAAGTGGAATATTTGAAATAGATGGTTTCCATGACAAATAACAACATTCCAAAGGACTCTATTGGTTGATAACCACAGAGTACTTTACCTTTGGCTAGGAGATAATGATATACTACAATCTCTCTTCACTACTTTGCCTCACCAACAATTAAAGAGAAGTTACTGAGAGGTAAGTGATTCTTCTCTTGATCTTTCAGAAAGTCAAAAGTCTGTATTCTTTCTAACCCTTTTACTTTCCTTAATTTTTTGTTAAGAGAAAGAACTATGGCTACATTAGAAAATTGCCTCACTATGGACCCTTATCTGGAAATCTTACCACATTTACCAATTGGAAAAATTAATCTCTGTTAATTAGTCTCAACTTCATGATTCATTAGTCAGTATACTCCTCAGAAATGAGCCTATGTATAGAAACAAATGTATTGTGAAATACTGGCTCACATGATTATACAGGCTGAGAATTCCTACAGTCTGTTTTCTGTAGGCTGGGACTCAGGGTTTATGATCTTATAGTCTAAAGACTGAGAGCCAAAGACCTGAGGATATAGATTCTAGCCTGGTTCTGAAGGTCTGAAAACCAGGAGCATGGAGGGCAGAAGATCAATGCCCAGTTCAAGTAATCAGGTGGAGAGCAAACTGAAGTTGCTGCTAGGAGTGGGAATACTGCTTCAGCTTGGGGTGGGTTGCTTATTTCACTGGCAAGGACTCATGAGAATTTAGAGCCCAATGTCCCTAGCTTCTTCAGCATCTTCCACACATCACCATTCCAACTTACAGGATCCCATTTCTTCCCAATCAATGTCCTTGCAGGACACTGCAAAGCTGGAAGTTTAGCTTTCATCACAATTTAGCCAGAAACATGAAGAAATTATGGATATGATTTTCAACAATCTCCTTCCCCATGGCTACAGGAGACAAGGGTTCCTGCAGGGTACATATAAACCCTTCAGGTCATTTATACAGCCTTTGGACTAAAAATTAATCATAGATTCTCTGAGCTCATTTTTCCCTTTCACCACTTTGTCTAACTTGTCAAACTTTTTTTTTTTTTGGTTTTAGACTTAAAATTGATTTATTATTTGGCAAAATGGGAAGTTTGAAGTCTAATATGTGAGACATCTGAGTTTTTATTGCTGTTGAATGGTATAGGCCTATGAATTTCACAATTGTAAAATTGTGAACCTCTGAATAGAGGCTGGTGGCTGAAGTCCACTACACTGTGTTCTTCTTGTCAGGGGACTTTCCTCCCAGCATGTTTTTTGTTTTTTCCTTTTTAAAAAAATTTTAAAATTTTTTTCCTTTTATTATTATTTTTTTTCATTTCATTTTCTTCCATAGAGTGCAGACACTCGGTATATATTAAGTGGGGACATACAATGCCTCTCCTTCATAGCATGACTTGCTTCACTCAGCAGTAAGTCTTTCATATTCATCCACTTCCTGTCAAAAGCCAGGGTTTTGTTGTTTTTTTTTATGGATGAATAGTAATCCATTGAGTATATGTGCCACAGTTTTTCTAACCATTCATCAGTTCATGGGCATTTGGGTTGTTTCCATGACTTAGCAATTGTGAAAAGTGCCGCAATAAATATCGATGTGCAAGCACTTTTTTGATTAAGTATTCTTCTGTCCTTTGGGTAGATACCAAGGAGTGGGATGGCTGGATCATATGGTAGTTCTATTTGTAGATTTTTGAGGAATCTCCAAATTGTTCTCCACAGTGGTTGGAACAATTTACATTCCCACCAGCAGTGTAAGAGAGTTCCCTTTTCACCACACCCCCACCAGCAGTTATCATTTTTTTGTTTTTTTAAACTTGGACATTCTGACTGGGGTTAGGAGATATCTCATTATTGTTTTGATCTGCCTTTCTCTTACAATGAGGGATGTTGAGCATCTTTTCATATGCCTTTTAGCTATTCGTATGTCATCTTTAGAGAGTGGGTTTTTCAACTCATTCTCCCATCTTTTAATA